TTGCCATGCTGGTGGGAGGGATTCTGGGAGCTGCAGTCCCCCCTAAGGCACTCGGCCATATGAAAAGGGGGACATCCTGGGAGCTGTAGTTCCCCCAGGGGCCTGACCTGCTCCAGGTGTCGGATGAGCTGGGCCGGGGTCAGCACCACTTCCTCCTCCTCCTCTTCCTCGCCGCTCGCCTCCGGATCCGCCATTGACTTCCCTGGATCTCCCTCCACTGCTTCCAACCAGACTCCCGCGGCCGTGACGTCAGCGCCTCTGAGCCAGCGCGGGAAAAGGGGAGCCCCGCCCCGCCCCCTCATAAATATACACGAGGCGGGCACGCCCCCTCTCCCTCTTTACTCCGCCCCCTCGAGTCTTTTAAAGGGGCCGCGACACTGTTTAGTTAATGGGACTAACTCAAGGTCCTAGTCCTCATTGACCCATGAACTTCCCTGAAGCTAATGCAGTTGCAAGTCCAGATTATTTGAAGGGCTGAGGCTGCATCTACACCAGGGGTAGGCAACCTGTCCCCTTTAAGGGCCAAGGGACTTCGGCTCCCAGAATCCCAGGAGCTATTGGCCAACATGGGAATATTGGCCAACATGGCTGAGGCTTCTGGGAGCTGAAGTCCCTCGGCCCTTAAAGGGGAAAGGTTGCCTACCCCTGGTCTACACTGTAGAAATCATCCAGTTTGACATCACTTTAGGTTTTGTGGCTCCATCCTATGGTATCCTGGGATGTGTAGCTCTTTCACTTCCTCTACCAAACCTTCTTACACTATAGATCCCAGGATTCTGGAGGATGGAGCCAAGTCAATTTATAGTGGTGTCAAACTGCCTTATTTCTACAGTGTAGATGCAGAGTTTGTTGTTGTTGTTGTGTGTCTTCAAGTTGATTTGACTTGCAGTGACCCTATGATGAGGTTTTCTTGGCAAGGTTTGTCCCCTGAGGCTGAGAGAGTGAGACTTGCCAAAGATCACCCAGTGGGTTTCCATGGCTGAGCTGGGAATTGAACCCTGGTCTCGAGTCGTAGTCCAGCACTCAAACCATTATGCCACACTGGCTCAGATGCACCTATATTTCAGAGAAAGGAGTTGGCAAAGCCACCTGGGAGTCTTCCTTGCTTAAGAAAACCCAATGAAATCCATGGGGTCGCCATAAGTTGACAGGCGACTTGAAGGGACATAAAACTGTGCACACAAACACACCTTCCCTATAGACACCTTCCCATTTTGAGATCTTCTGCGGTCTCCTTTCTCTTTGTCCCACCGCCTTCTGTAAAATCAGTACGTAGAGAGATCTTGTAGCTCCTTTGAGACTCACTGAAAGAAAGAAGTT